TGTGGTACTGTTTGCAAGGGAGGGGCCAGAGAGGGAACAATGCCACTTGCTCAGCTTTCACCCTACTTCCAGTCACTTGCCCCACTACCCACAATTGGGCTCTTCTAGAGCTGATTCTTCAGTGGGTGGGTTTGCATATTTCTAGGACCACTTAGATCCCTCCAACAGACTTTCCTGTGAGACTGGAAATTTTTCTCACTACCACAATCACCACAGGTTTTTACCACCAGAGGTTTTGAGGCTTTGTTTCCCCATGCTGGGACCCTGGGTTGCATGGTTTGCCTCCCTCCCCAGTTGTTCCTCCTGGTTTATCCACACACAAATGTGGGACTTCCCAGTCTGCTAGTTGCCACCTCACCTGCCTGTTCCACCAACTGCCACCTTGCTGTGCATCCCCTCCACCCTGTTTCCATGGCTCCACCCCTCCTACCAGTCTGAATGAGTTTCTTCTTTAACTCCTTGGTTGTCTGACATCCATACAGTTTGATTTTCTGACAACTCTGGTTTTTTTTTTTTTAATTCGTTGTCCTTTTGGTTGTGCAAGGAAGCAAAGTATATCTACCTATGACTCCATCTTGGCTGGAAGTCCCTACCTTCACTTCTTGATTTACATACTTAATCCCCACCCCAATCATAGCCTGAAATGGTCACTTCTACACGATTTCTTAAAGAATCAATTGAATCCCATTTCAAGGTGCCAACCTCATCCTGAGCAGGGCAAGAGGTAAATCTCAATCCCAATGGAGATGAGTTTCTTGACACAATTTGGGTATATTCTTCTTCAAGGTGTAATTCATCTTCTCTACCTTCCCAGAAGACTGAGGTCTCCATGCCATGTGGAGTCTCCACTAGATTCCTAAAAATTTACTAAACTTCTGTGTAATTTCTGAAACAAAAGCAGGTCCATTATTGCTCTGGATGCTGCTGGGTAGGATGAAGCAAGGAATTACTTCCTTCAGTAAGGCTTTTACTACCTCTGAGGCTTTCCCAGTTCTAGTAGTATAGGCTTCTATCCAACCTGAAAAGGTATCAACAAGACTAGCAACTATTTACACCTTTGGACCCTTGGCATCTGAACAGTCTATTTGCTAGCCCTCAAATGGGCACTGTCCTTGGTATTGTTTCCCTTCTTTCTTTTGATGGGCATCTATCTTGGAGTTGTTTTTCTGGCACACAACACACCAAGCAATAACTTTTGTATGGCTTTAGAAATTCCAGGACCTATGAACCATAGTTTAATATATATGGTTAATGAGTACCTTCCATAGTGAAGGGCCTCATGCTCCTCACAATACTTCATGACTGGTTCTACTAAATGTTGAGGAAGCAGTATAACTCCTTGTTTAGTCTTTCTCCATTTACTATTAGGACCTATTTCATCAAAACATCAGCTCAAATTGTGACAAGTCTAAAACAGGTCCCAAAGGCATTACAAATGTTCCTTCAGCAGCCTCTTTCACTGCTCCATCAGCCAGGTTGTTTCCTTTAGCCATTTCAGTGTCCTCTTTCTGATGCCCCAGGGCAGTACATAACTGCCACCTGTAAAGGTACCTGGACAGCTTGTAATAATTTTAAAATTTCTACTGCACACTTAATTTCCTTTTTATTGTAGGCTAATAGTCCTCTTTCCTTCCAGATTGAACCATGTGTATGCAAACTTAGGCGAGCATACACTGAGTTGGTATACACATTCACCCCTTTTTTGTGTGACAGTCCAGCGCCCTTGTCAATATAATTAGTTCAGTTTTCTGAGCAGAGGTTCCCAGCAGTAAGACCCTGGCCTCTACTATTCCTTCAAGATTTGCAAATGCATATTCAGCCTTTTGTTTCCTTGTCCATATAACTGCTTCCATATGCATATAGAGTCCAGTCTGCCTCTTCTAGAGGGTAGTCCTGTAAATCAATTCTTCTAGAATAAACTTCATCAATAGTCATGTAGTAGCACAGCTGAGTCCACCTCCAGAAGAAGAGAGGCAGAATTTAACTTACAATTTTAAGAAAGGTGTTGGGATTGTCCAGAAGAATTGCTTGATATCAGCCCCTTCTTCCAACAGTGAGCCATAAATTTCCTTTTTGCTCCATCAGGTTCAACACTTGGTGAGGTGCATAAATAGTGATATGCTATGCCAAGGAAAAGTTCACAGCTTCCTGTAAAAGCTCACCCCTGGACAGTGTGATCTAGTTTCCTTGACTAGATCATGTGATGGGTTGCAGAATGTCACTAAGCACTCGGGTGAGGACTCCTAGGGCAAGGACCTGCCTTTCATGAACCTATAACTGAAAGGGCTTTAGTAGGTTTGGAAGCCCCAAGGCCAGTGCAGAAGCCAGGTGTGCCATCAGGGACCCAAAGGCCTGAGCATACCCTTTCATCCACTCTAAAGGGTTATATTCTGGTCCCCTCAGAGCTTCATAGAGTGGTTTAGCAATGAGCCCAAAGTTTGGAATCCCAAAGTGACAATAGCTTGCTATACCCAGGAATCCTCTTAACTGTTTCCTGGTATTGGGAACTCTTATCCCAAGTATAGTTTCTTTCTGTTTCCAAATAAGACTCCTTTTGCCATGTTCAAGACACCTTACTGCTTGTTGTCTGGGCCTTCTGTGCTGATACTTTATGGCCACAAGTTGCCAGGTGATTCAAGGTAGCTATAGTATTAGCTAAACATTGTTAAAATTATGTCCCAGTAATTAAGAGGTAATCTACATATTGTAACAGCATATCTCCTTCTAGTCTCAGATTCTCAAAGTCCTGGATCAGTGTCTCCCCAAAAATCGTAGAATTCTTGATCCCTTGTGGTGAGACTTTCCAGCAGTACTGAATTTTGACCTGAGATTCCAGGTCCCGCCATTCAAAAGCAAACAATGGTTAAAAATCTTGTACAACTGACTGCAACAACAATTAAAATAATTTTTTAAAAACTCTTGTACAACTGGAATGCCAAAAAAAAACATCTTTTAAGTCCAATAATGAATACCAGAGGCTGTTCCCAAATATACTGTTCACCAAAATATAAAGATTCAAGACAGTGGGGTGAATGTCCTGTGCAATGTTATTTAAATCTTAAATTGGCTCTTAAATCTTGTACAAATTGATATGCATTTGAGTGGGGTTTCTTAACAGGCAATATGGGTGTTTTTAATGGGGAGTATCAGGTCTGAAAAAGTCCATATTCCTGAAACTTCTGAATTATTGGACATACTCCTTCTGGGGCCTCTTTCCACAGGGATACTGCCTCTTATTGGGAGTCCCAGCCCCTGGTTTAAGATCCACTTTAACAGGGGAGGTTCATTAGCCCTCCCTGACTTTCCAGTAATCCACACAATAGGGTTTACCCCATTCTCAATTTCTTCTGACCAGGGTCATTTTTCTTCCTCCCATGTTTTCATAAGGAGCTGCCAAGCATATTTTGAAGGGACCTGTAGGTGGAGCTATTGTTCTGGAAAGAAAATGACCTCAGCAAGAAGTTTGACAGCAAGTCCCTTCCCATTAAAGGAATTGGACACTTGGGATCTTATAAAAGTTTTTGAGTAGAAACCATATCTCCCACAGTACATTCCAATGGTTTTAAGTAACACTGGCTTTCAGGGCTTCCAGAAATTTCATTTAGAGTTACAGCCTACCACGAGGACTCAGAGGTTTATTGACCATGGAATATGTCATTTTGGTATCAATTGAAAAGTCTACAATTTGTCCTCCCACTGTTAGTTTTATCTGAGATTCCTGGGGAGGGTGACTTTAATGGGTTGTTATAATAATTGAACCTCTGGGCCCCATCACTCATCTTCAGAACTAAGGCTTTTCCCAGCATAACTCTCAGATACTCAGACTGACCCCCTTTTCCCTCACATAGGACACTTATTTTCCCAGTGCCCCTTTCCTTCACAACACATGCATTGATCAGTGGCGACTGTTTTAGATGGCGGTTAGTGCCCCTTGCCCACTGATGGAACTACCCTGAAACCTGTTCCAAGAAAATAATGGCTTCTTGGGTTTTTTTTCTGTTCCCTGTCATTATGAACTTTGAAGGCAATGTCTACTAGTTGGGAAAGATTCATGCATATTCCTCCCTTTAACTTCTGAAATTTCTTTTTGATGTCAGGTGCACTTTGAGAGATAAAGGTCATATTCACCACTCTAATACTTTCAGGGGCTGGTGGATCCAATTCAGTATATTTTTTATAGACATGGTAGATTTTTTCAAGAAACTCAGAGGGGTCCTCTGTGAGCTTTTTTTGGACTGCCTGTACCATATTCAGACTTTTCTGCTTAAGGACTCCTTTCTTCAGTCCCTCAAATATGCACCTCTTTCAATGCTCTAAGAGAGGAATGCCATTCTTCTTAGGGTCCCATCTGGGCTCAGTTAAAAGCATTGACTTAGTAGGGCCAGGAGCCCCATCTGGATTTCTATCTGAAGAAATCAGAAACACTAATTTGAAAGAATATATGCACCCTTATGTTCATTGTAGCATTATTTACAATCACCAAGATTTGTAAACAGTCCAAATGCCCATCAGTAGAGGAGTGGACTTAACAGCTATGGTATGTTTACACAATGGAATAGTACTCATCCATAAAAAAGAAGAAAATGTTATTCTTTGCAACAGTATGGATGGAACTGGAGAACATTATGCTAAGTGAAATAAGCCAATCAGATAAAGACAAATATCAAATGATTTCACTCCTATATGGAATCTAATGAACAAACTGAACTGACAAGCAAAATAGAGACAGACTCATAGAGAGCAGGCTGACTGCTCTGGGAAGTGGTTGGGAAGTGGAGGAATTGAGCAAAAAACAGACAAAGAACTCATGGACACAGACAACCATGATTGCAGGGATGGGGTTTGGGGGTGGGGGTAGAAAAGAATATAGGCAGATCAATGGTAATGGGAAAATACAATAATAAACAAATACATATTTATAAAATGAAAGAAGAAGATTAGATATGATTCATTCTTACTTGCTAATCTCATGACCCCTCCTACTTAAACCCTCAGTTTGGAAAGAAACCTGAGTGGTATGTGAGAGAAGTGGTTTCATTTTAACAGCTGACCTCAAGAGAACGATATGCCTGTTTCCCCAGTTCATTTTATCTTCATCTTTCTACTCTACCAGCTCACAGGTGAGTCCAGCCAGATCTTCCTGCTCTCTTGACTGCCTTCCTTATATGAGGATCCTGGGTCCACTCTGGAGCTCTGGCTCAACTCAGCAGGTTCTGCTTCTTTATTTAATGTTTCTTTTTACATCCTATTATTACTGTGCAGGGAACAGACTGGAGCATGTCTGCCTCAGGCCAGACTGTACCTGTAGTATGTGGGTTCTTGACTGTAGAAGAAAGATTTCACAGCATGAGTACAGGTGACTTTGGTAGTACTGAGGACAGTGAAACAAAGGAAGAACTTATGGTAGAAGAAGTAACAGGAGAGAGCTTAGGTAATGCTCTGCTTTGGCTCCCTAGAAATATTATACAAAAGGAATAAGCCAAGATGGGGCTTCTCTTATGTCACTAAGAAGTAAAGGTCCCAGTGACAGAAGTGAGCCAAGGCAGAGCTGCTTCTAGCTCACTGGGAAGTCTGAAAAAAAAAAGGGGGCCTTGGAGATAGGACCAGAGGGTAAGTCCAGGGCAAGCTGTCTTCCCACTGCTCCTTCCCCTTAGAATTTCAGAGGAAGTAAAAAGTTCATGCCTGGGCAAGGGGCATAGGCATGCTCTAGAGTGAGCCCACACCCAATCTTTGTCTTGAGGGTTTTTATCCCTCTTATGCAGGTAAGAATCTTAAGGAAGGGTTACAGCAGTACATTTATCAGCTTTCCAGGTGTGTTTTTAATATGCTGATGCATCAAAAATGAGCATATGGGGGGGTTATTCTTTGGTCTGCTTTACTGTTTTCTTTTCTTGGGTCTGTCTGACTTTTAATGGGGTTTTTGTTATTTGTTCCCTTGACTTCATATGTCCTAAGGTTTGGCTGACACAAATGGCATTAAATGGGTTTCTGTTCTCTAGCTTCCAGACTAGGGAGATTTAAGCTGTGTGTTCTCTGCTTAGGGAGGAGAAATATAAACCATTGCTCTCAAGTGTCTTTGGCTGGAGGAGATAAGATCTTGCAATTCATGAGCTGGCTGTAAATTGGGCAAACTGTTTGGCCTTATTTTATTTCCTTGCCTCAGTTTCCCTATTACAGTTACTCAGGAATTCCTAGCTTTTTACTATCCTGTCACACCATAATTTCTGAATCACTGAGAGCCAAAAGAGACTGAAGAAAGAAGAGAAGGAATGACTTTGGAGACCAACTCCCTTTCTGACTGTTCTAGAGAAAAAAGGGCTGGAAAAAGTGGTGTATGACCTATGTCCTAATTACAATTTCTGCCACAAATTAGATAAAAAATATAATCTTTCCTGGACCCTAGCCTCCCTCCCTTTGAGGACACCTTTAAAAAAAATGATATCATGCAGGTGTATGTTTATTTTTTTTTCACAAATGTACATTTAAAATATTTTCTTTAAATGCATTTATAAGATATCTAAGTATTTTATACTTAGAAATATATTTTAAATGATTATTCAAAAACAATTATATTGGTGAAAAGAAATGTTTGCATTTTTATCTCTTAACCCAAGCAATTTAATCAGCCTCTATGTAGAAAGCCAACTCATATTGTAGGTACTTTATGATTAGTGTCCTGAAGGACTGGAGACTTCTTCCACCTGTTACAGGAACTCTATCTAATCTTTGGACATTTTACTAACCTGAAGGATCTCAGAACAAACCAGGAGCTCCAGAAATCAGGAATATATTTCCAGTCATCAAACTCCTAGAGTACTTCCATGAGGTCTCCCTTTGAGGACCTGGCATAGCTAATTTGTTTATATGTGCCCCAAGCCTGCCTATAGTGATCTGCTCAAAATCACACAGTCAGTCAGCACTCCCAGTTTTTATTACCACATCACCTGGCCTGACCAAATGTTCAGCATCAGATTCTCACTGTCCTTTAGTTCGTTAAAAGTTTGTATTTTTAGGAAGCACCTGGTTCTAAGTAGTTGGTCCTAAAATAGGCTCTCATTCTGTAAGCCATTTCCCTGAACGGAAGTGGTAATTAAAGTGCAACTTGGGGAAGCTGAGGTGGGGGAGGACATAGCAGGTACACACCCAAAACCTGAACTGTGGGCATCAGGGCACAAGTGTGTGTTGTGCTCCAGAAGGCTATGGGCAGCCTGTGTGGTACACTTCCCGTAGCGGAAAGGCATGCAGGATTGTCATAGAGCCTCCAGTGGGCAGGACAGTGGGAACAGTGCTGGCCCTAGACAAGGACTCCTGGGTTTGACTTAGTAGCTATATTCTGTTTCCATTCTGAACTCAGCCTCTGAACCTTGGTCTTCACAAGTATATAATGGAAAACAAAACTGAACTTGAAGTATTGTGGTGTTTTAAATAAAATATCAAAGACAAAACAATGATAATAATAATCATTATTTGTTAAGTTCCTCTTATTTCTAAGGCATTTTCTATACAATCTTCTCACAAATTTATAAGATAGGTATTATTATCCCTGATTTATAGATGAGAAAACTTAGGCTTAGAGAAGTCAAAGTATCCTGGGCAAAGTTACACAGCTAATAAGAGGGAGATCAGAAACTGAATTTCCAAAGCTGGTTGCTCTTTTTATCACACCAACCTGCCTAACACTGTAGCTAACACCAGGGAAGTGCTCCATAAATGCATATTCAACCTGACTCTTCCCAAGAGAGCTTGTTGTGATTCCTTCTCCACCCTCCTCCCAGGTATGTGAGTCCAAAGTAGGGACTAGAAATGCCCAAGAAGAGCAAGTAACTCTGTTTCCAGAATGTGAATGCACCAACAGGGACCCATGCTGGCCAAGTTAAGAGGAGCTAAGGATCAGCTCTGTGGCCTCAGTATGCTCATCTGGAAAATGGGTACAATAACCTGCCCCCCAAAGATATTGTGATGATTAAGTGATACAGGAGTGCTGGTAAGACAAGTAAAAAAAGAAAACAAAAAAAGCAGGTAAGGGGGAATCAGGAAAGTGTTGGAAAGGACCAGAAGAGACAAGAAAGAGGAGACAGGAGATGAGCAAGGGTCAGAGCAGTAGTAGCTTGAATGTGAACATTGTGTGCTAGGGTGGGAGGAGTGGTAAACTTGTAGGGTGAACTGGGAGGTTTGTAAGCCTCTTTTTCATGTACAGACAATTCCTGATTTTTGATGTCTCAACATGCTATTTTTCAACTTTATGATGGTGTGTATCAGTAGAAATTGAACTTCAAATTTTTAATATTGATTATTTCCCAGGGTAGCAATATGCAATAAAATGCTCTCTCATGATGCTGGGCAGTGACAGTCACCCACAGCTCCCAGTCAGGCACATGACCATGAAGGTCTAGAGCCTATACTCTACAGTGTACTGTGTTGCCAGTGTTTATTGGATTTTGAGTTTTACATTTTTGCATCTCATCGTGTCTACAAAATGCCTATTAGTGTCTCTTGCTTCTGGTGAGAAAAGGAGGAAAGCAATTACTCTTGAGATGAAATATTTGGAGATAAAACTCAAGATAATTGCCCAATTGTAGGCTACTGTTAGTGTTCTGAATACAATGTATGCAAGGCTAAGATCTGATGTTGGGTAAATTCGTGTATTAAGTGCATTTTTGACTTTACGATTTTTCAACTTATGATAGTTTTATCAGGCTAACCCCATTATAAGTGAAGGGTCATCTGTACATAGCACTGATTTACAATGCTCTTTACAGGGTACATTTGTTAAGAAGTTGGGTAAAGAGAGGTAGTTTCCAAATTTTTTTTTCTTTTTTAAGCAGTGTTTCCTCTTTCTGAAATGAAATCTCACACAGAAACAAACAAGTAAATGACTCTAGTGAAGGGAGCTGAAATCTCTCTGATGGAGGGGAAGTTCCATGGACTCTGGCCAATCATCCCTATCTCCATTCCCCAACTCCTACAGCTTCCTCTAAGCTCCTCAGCAGAAGCTGAGGGACTTAGGGACTGAGCAGAAACTGAGGGACTGCCACAGACCTCAAGGGTGGCAGAAGGCACTGCTTGGGAAGCCCTGCCTTAGGAGCCCTGATTCTTAATCTTGGTCTTCCACTGGCTTGAAATATGTCACTACAAAACCCTCAAAGCATCCGTCTCCTCATTTATAAAATGAGACTGAATTAAGTAGTCCCTAAGAGTCCTCCTAGCTCCATAATGCTCTAATCCTTGGTTTCCACGAGAAGGGTGCCATGACATGGTGGTGCATTCTGATGGAAGCACAGAGTACTGGGAGAGGTGCTCAGGGACTGGGCTGGCAAGAGGGAGGTTGGCTTTACACCTTCCCCTACTCTGAAGTCTTTCTCCTAAGTCAACATCCCTTGATTCTAGTGGTACTGATGATATCCCTTCCTCCTAATTTGGCTCCCTCCCTCTACTCAGCTTTTGAGCCTTAGAGAAAACAGGTTAAGGGGCAAAGGTAATAACTCAAAGTGAAGGGAAGTAGCAAAGTGGAGGAGCTGTTGTCCCTTTCTGTTATGGAGGACATCTTAAAGCTGACTTCCATGACACCATAAATATCTGGATCTTGGCTAGAGAGGAAGGCAAATTATCTCCTGCCCCAGCTCCCTTAATTTCCAAAGGCAGGTTGGCAGGGAATATTTGCTGAATATTCCCTGCGTGGTGTGAGTGACTGGTCTACAGGCATTAGATTCCGAACCACTTTCTGGGAAGCTTACCTTGCCAAGAAGCCACCCAAGGAAGTTTTGGGAAATCTCTGCTTCTCATTTTTAGCCATCCTTGTGAAAATGAAACAAATAATGGGAAGCTTTCTCAAGGTCTGCTCCTCATAACACTACTCTCTGCTTTCCCTCCTGCCTCCTACCATGTCACAGACTGCTCTGTACTTCTCAAAATGCTTTCAGATCAGTATTCACCCTTCATCTTCCTCTAAGTCCTGGCAAACAAAGGTTATTTTTTTCTCCTATGAGAGTTGAGCACGCTGAAACTCAAAGTGTTAAGGGGTGAGGCAATAGTGGAAGGAACACAGGCCTCTGAGACAGAGGAACTAATCAGCTTCTCACCCCACTTCTGCTATTTTCCAGTTTGGGAACTTGGGAAAATCACTTAGTATCCTGGAGCCCCAGTGTCCTCATCTATAAAGTGGAGCTTCACCGCTATCTCACATAACTGCTTTGAGAATCAAGAAAGATTATACCCATTAAACTAGTTTACAAACTACAGTGTGACATCAAGTGTTTGTCGGTGTAGTTATTATTGTGAATGAGTCAGAATGAAACCCAGCTTTCCTGAATACCAGTTAGGCCAGAGCTCTGAATCATTTACACTATTCCATGCATCCTGGGAGGAGAAGCTGTCTCCACCCCTCCTTGGGTGGGACCCCAGGTCCCATCACCAGGTGATCTGGAACAAAATGGCTATAGACATTGGCTAATTCATAGCAAAATTGTATGTCCAATTACTACTCATGGGAATATCTCCTTCTGAAGAATTTAAAGTAAAAAATAAACTACTGGTGGATTGTCACAAGGTGCATGTGTGAAACAGTTGGAGACTTCCTCAAGGAAGGGCTTTGACCTAGGCTTCATGGGTCTTGAATGAAGTTAGATAAGCAGAGAGAATGATAAAGCACAAAACAAAAGTTTGTGAGGTAGATAGTAAATGAGACCAGGTGAGGAGAGAGGAGTGGCTGCTTCCCTGGTGGTAGGAAATGGGTGGCTGTTCTGGGGTTCATATCTTCCCACAGGCTCATATAGTCATCCTGGTCTTAGAGCAAAAGTCCTGGGATTCTCTTATACACAATCAACCCAGGTCATATGATACCCCTGAATTAATTACCATTCCAGAGAAAGGCTACCACTACCTGTGCTGGGTGCCCATCATTTGTGCCCAAACCAACTGGACACGACAAAATGAGGAATGGGTTAAATGGACGCCACTCACTGTATTGATCTAGGTGGGAGGGTAGATGAGTCTCATGGGACCAAATCATCCCTGGTTTTGTAGGTAGGCATTAGTAGTCACTTGTTTCCCAGAGTCAGCTCATCCCACAGGTCATGTTAAGTATGCCCATTGTACTTTCCCCAAGTACCTGGTACTCCCCCTTTTATAACACATGTAGTTATTTATTTGATGACAATCTCCCAATCCCATGAATGCAAGGATCTTGACTAGCTTGCCCCCAGTTATATCCTCAGCTCCAAAACAGTGCCTGGAACAAATATGGAACCAAATAAATTATTATGAAAGGAAGGAAGGACCTAATGAGAAAAACATGACCTACTCAGACATAATAAAACTCTAGAAAGTCACAGCTTTAGGCAGAGAAGCCAACACAGAAAGGGGAAATGCAGTTCAGCCTTGGGCAGCTGAGAAGAGAAGTCTCTTGTTTCTGCATCCCTTTTCACAGTCAACTGGAAAGAAAAAACAAAACATGTTGGAACTCACCAACCCTGTCCCTATCTTCTGAACTCACATTTAGGAGCTGGCATGGAGCTACTTTTTTCTTTCATGACATGCTTCCCACCCTGGCAATTTGCACTATCACTCTCCAGTTTCACTCTAACAAAAAATTATAAATTTGAAGACATGTCTTTATGTCACCACACAGTTCACATTTTTTTTTACTTTTACCCTGAGGATGTAGCACCACATGTGTGAGGTGAAAAAGAATGACTGTTCAGAGCTTAAATGTGTGCACACATGCTAAAGCACCAAAGCCACATCCTGGAAGTTGTGTCACCTTCCTGACTTGAATATCTCCCCCAAACCTTATGTGTAGACAAAATTACTCAGTTGCCCTAAATCCAAGTGTTACACCTACTTGAAGGCAAATGATATCCAATCTTTACTTGACTGCAAACTACAGGGTCCAGCAAAAGTAATGCCTGCTTGAGTGTGGTTGATAGGGTACGTGAATATCTCCCATGAGATGGACGGCAATTTGAACATTTTACCTAAAATGTCATATGGTGTGTTTGAGTGGGATGTTATTATGTGACAGAATCCCATGCATATGATTTTGTAATAAAAGGGGGGGTGCATTATTTGTGTCGGACCCTGTATTAACTCCTTCCATCTCTGTTGTTAAAGTGAAAGAATACATGCATTAACTGATCCATCAAAGGTTAAAAAAATTGATTTCATTTGTAACATTTACTGGGACTACTTTGATACCCCTTGGGATGGTCAACGAGCAACTGAAAAACCATCCTACCTTAGTGTTAAGAAAGCAGGGAGAATGGTTTTTTTTGAAGAATCATATTCCTTAACAGAATGACTTCATAAGGGCCTGAGGGACTCAAAAAATATATTCACTGACTGAAAAATTATGAGCATAATATTTGATCACAAGAATCAGCTTTGAAAACAGTACTTTTGAAAATAAATTTAAAAATGAAGTTGGCCAAGATCAAGAACCTGTAATCAAGGGACTAGGTGAACATTTGGCAACATAAGATTCTCTTACTCTGGAGTACTGGGAGAGCAGCTTATGCTTGAAGGAAGGTCACCAAAGGACATAAAAGGGAAATTGGGTTTCTCAAGTCCTCTATGTCATAAAATAGAAAAATAAATTATCCCCAAATTTCTAAGCTATCATTAGCATGAGGAACTTATAACTTACCTCCCAATATTCTGTGCTGTGTTTGGAAACCACTACCCCATATCAGACAAGCTGCTCCTGCATCTAAATTAGCTCTTCCAGGAACAATGGGGATAGGAAGATGGTGCCTTAAGTGGTGCTTGGACAGTAAACTCACAGTTGTTCTCCTGCAGGAATTTGTCAAGGATGGAGCTGGTTCCTGTGGTCTACCTCAGAGCTTCATCTTTTCAGCCAGAGGTCTCTGGGAGTAGGGTGGATTCGTGAGGGCATCACCCCTTTCAAGAAAGAATTCTGGCCTCAATGCTTTTAAGGGAGTGAGGTTCCAAAGGGATTCCCAGGGAATGTTTGGGTTGGACTATGAGGGTTTCTTGGAACCTTCCTAGAACCCAAAGTGGGTGAGTAACTGGTGGAAAGGGTAGGGACTCACATTTATTTTATGATTCTGTGTCTGCAGGGTCAGCAGCCTCTAGAGCCCTGAAGGAGCTGGTTGGTGCCCTTGGTGGGTCTGTGACTTTCCCTCTGACACACTCAATAAATTCGATTGACAGCATTGTCTGGACTTTTAACACAACTACTCTTATCACCATACAGCCAAAAACAGCAAACAATCAAGATACTGTCATAGTAACTCAAAATCATAACAAGAAAAGGGTGGAGTTCCCACATGGAAACTACTCCCTGAAGCTCAGCAAACTGAATAAGAATGACTCAGGTGCCTATCATGTACAGATATACAGTTCATCCCTCCAGCATCCCTTCACCCAGAATTATGAGCTGCGTGTCTATGGTGAGTAGAACCAGTTCCAAAAGTGAATGACTGCCTTGGTAAAGTAGTAAACTCCTTGATATTGGAGATGTTTAAGCAAAAGCAGGATAAACACTTGGCAAGAATGTGAAAGAAAGAACTCCTACATGAATGAAGTAGAGTTGCTGACCCCTGAGATCCCTTCCTACTCCAAGATTCTGTAAGAGGTAGTGTGGTACAACAGATGGGTGGAATAAGTGGAAATCACACAAGTCTAATGTTGGCTTCTTATTTACTAGCTGCATGGTCTTAGCCAAGTTACTTAGCATCTTTGAAACTCGGTTCCCATGTCCATAAAAGGGAAGAAAGTGATACCTATTTTAGAAAAATGATCAGGTATAAACATCAATCACACTTCTTCCCCTACAGTCTCTAATCAATTGAGAAATAGACACAAGATTGGAAGGAAGATAAAAAATAGCTTTGTTTTTTCTCTTAAAGCAAGCTAGGAGAAATATTTTACCCTAAGTCTAGAGCTTGGAGCCCATTCATGGAAGATGAATTTATAAAACAATTATTCAGCCAGCTACAAGAATAGCTGCCTCACTCACTGAGATGTAATATCACAGATACCAGGAGATGGGCCTCCAAGTTTGCTTGTAAGAGGTAGGTCATTCGCATTGATCCAGGTGTTGTGTGTGTGTGTGTGTGTGTGTGTGTGTGTGTGTGTGTGTGTTTGAAGGGAACAGAAGACATGCATTCTACAGAAAAACTAACTAGCTGGGAGCTGAGGGGGAGGAAAACCACATTTAGTAGCAATATTATCAGTTCAAACCCACAAATAGAGAAATGTAGATGATAGATGTCAACCTCTTATCATCTTAGCAATGAACCAATTGCTCATCTTTGGAGGGAGTGGAATAAACACCAAGTAGGGAGGGAGACCAAAAGTGTTATTCCACCAGAAGAGTAAAGTGAGTCTCTTCAAGGTAGCCTAAGGACAGGGAAATAGGGAGCCTGTGAAAAAGATAACATTAGCTAACATCTAACATACATTTAACACAGTTCCGGCCATATGGCTGTGCTTAGTAAATGGGAGCTGCATTCTTGTTAGGTTGCTATTATTTCTATTACTATTGTTGTTGTTGTTGCTATACAGCTGTAGAAAAGCAGACCTAGGTAGTTCTCTTTCCTAGATAAGAATGAGAATTCTGCTCTGAATTGCTGCTTCCTCTCTACTCTGTAGCACCTCGAAGAGATTCAGGTCCAGGGTTATAAGAATAATTCAGGAAAAGGAGAGCTATAGGCATAGTTTCCACCCTTGGTTATCCATTCTCCTTTACAGAGCACCTATCAAAACCCAAAATTACCATGGGTCTGCAGAACAATAAGAATGGCACCTGCATGACCAATCTGACATGTTCCATGGAACAAGGAGGAGAGGATGTAACTTACAGCTGGAAGTCCTTGGGGCAGACAACCAATGAGTCCCATCATGGTTCCATCCTCCCCATATCCTGGAGGCTGGGGGAAAAGGATGTGACCTTCGTCTGCATGGCCAGGAACCCTATTAGCAGCAACTCTTCAAACCCCATCTTCGCCCGGAAGCTCTGTGAAGGTGACCATCTCTCCTCTTTCTCCAAAAACCTGTATTCTTGGGACCTATAACTTTTTTAGCTACTGGTTCCCATGGGAATGGGTCCTGTGTAAAAACAGAAGACCTCTGGGAAGTCACCAGACTGGGAGAAAAGTGGAAGTTGCTTCAAAAGTTGGGTCATTTTCCCTAGCTGACTGTTTTTCCTTCCCTGTGCCTCTATCCATTTTCTCTTTAAAGGTGTTGTTGGTGACCTATATTCCACCATGGCCCTGAAATTCTTGTGGATTTTCTTACTTCTCAGTGTCCTTGTACTGGTGACAATTATTTTCATTACATGGAGACAAAACAGAAAAGGTAGAGCATGTACCATTTTTGTCTTGCCCTCATTCATGCCTTTTCCACCTCATTTATTCAATAAACATATGCTAACTGTGTGCCAGACTTGGTGCTAGGCATAAGGATTCAGAAATGAAGGGGCCATAGTATCTGCCTCAAGGAGAACAACATCAGCCTGCACCCTCAGTTCTGGAGTAAAGAGAGTATTTGATTCCTTAACTAAGGCCAAGATCCTTCTAGTTCTCTCTCTAGCCCCCACCCCTTTCAGAGATTGGAGAGTAAAATAATGAGGGTAACTAGTTCATCCTGGGATTTTCCTGGGGTTAGCACTAAAAGTCTCATGCCCTGGAAAATCCTTTAGTTACAGGGACACCAGGATAATTGGTCACCCTAAGTAGGTTGTCAGATGGGGTAGAGGGTCAATGGGGATAGTGAGTGGAATGAAGGGCCAGCTCTGATTCTTTACCAACTTAGTTACAGAGTCCATTGAAGAGAAGAAAATGGACACTCATCAGGAAATTCCTAACTACTATCCCCCATCTGGAGAGACCTCAGAGTATGATACAATCTCTAACCTTAATGTGAGTCCATTTCCATCTTTCCTGGAGTTTTATCCTTCTATCTGAGGCCCTTCTTGTTTTACTTGAGATTTTCCCATGTATTTGGACAACATGAGAGATGAGGATGAATAGCCTTTGAAACCCAATGCACTTGTGTTTCCCTTGGGTCTTTACGGATTCTCTCTCATGCAGGAGTTGATGACCTGTTCAGATCCAACCAATAATGCTCACACTATGGCCTATGGAATCACCTTTTTCCTCCACAGTTCATAACAGCCACTCAGCAGGCCTGATCCCTTTAGCATATGGGGTCAGTAGATTGGATTTAGGGATGCCTTTTTCTATGAGGCAAATAAAAAAGCCATCAGGAAAGGACTCAAATGGCCCACAGTGGCTCTGGGCCCACACTCAGTTTCCCAAGTGTGTGTTATCAAGCTGAAGTAAATAAACACAAGGTTAATCCAAAGGAAACTCTGAAGAGAATAAAAATAAAGTTTAAAATTAGCCAAATAAACAGAGGCAATCTGGAGACATGAACTATGTAGACAACTTCAAAAGTTTCCCCAGGAATGATCATTGTAGTCCAGGCTGGAATAGCTTCTTAGAGGTCATAATGAGAGCACTTTTCTGCATAGGCCTACTTAGTTAAAAAAAAAAAGAAAAGAATATTTTAGAACCTCAAAATACCAGTTTTACTCCAGCCCTTGGTGTCTTTCAATCAGGTTGCACCTTCCTACTCTTACCAACAACTTTTCCAAGAGGATACACTACGTTTATTCTTCAAAGTTAGTGTCCAAGAGTGCCTTTTCTCCTGTAGGGAGAATGCTCTGTGCTCCACTCAGCCTGGCCTCTGTCCAAGTTGATCACTTTATGTTCATGCCCCACCTCCACCTCATTCAAGACACATTCCCAGACCACACAATTGGATATCCTGGATGTTCAGGAATATACTTCATTTTCCCAGGATATTTTTCTCTGGCCCAGAAGGAGCTTTTGTTATTGTTATTATTGTTATATTGTTTTGTTCAGTACCATCAGTCATCCTTAGTGATTTGTTCCAAAGGCTCTTTTGACTGATGGAAAAGTTTATTTGCAATATTAGCAATACTAGTTCAAATTATCCTTTAGTTACCTTAGAGGCTCATAGTTCATATGGCTTATATATTTTTAAATTTATTTAAACACAACACACTTTTAAAATAATGTAATTATTTCTTTATACAAGTTATTAATAATTATACTAACAATCATCTACAAGAGCACTTCCCACTACCCATTTCTGTTCCAAAATCCTCTAACTCTCTTGCCTTCTTTCCCCATCTTGCTTTCCTTTCTCTGGATTCTAGGCATCTATTTGGCCTTGTCTATGTGATTCAGGGGTATGATTTCTTTTTTTGTTTTTGTTTGTTTTTAATAGAAAACAATTCCAGAAGAAAATTCTGTAAATACAGTTTATTCTGTGGTACAATTACCCCAAAAGGTAAGAAATATTAGAGCTCAGTTTTATCTTAGTTGTTCCATCATTTTTTTGTAGTTCAAGCTTAGCTTATAGTGCCTTGGGCCCCAGGGACCTCATATTCCCTGGCTTGGAAATAAAAGGTCCCCAGGATGTCCCCAGTCATTTTGCTTAGAGAGAATAGAAGAGAATTGTGTTTTATGGGTCAAATGGGGGTAATGTGGAACAAATAGTGTAGGAGACAGTTTCTAGGTAGGAATAATAGGAAAATCAGCAGGATCCTGACTAAGGGGATGGATGGGGTAAAGGGCCACAGTTAGGCTGTGCCTGGGAGGGAGGTGCAGTTGTAAAGGAAACTCCAACCTGCTTCTGAGCCACACCAGTAAACTGGAAGCAGAAGAGATTTCCTTTTCTTTTTCACATTCTACGTATGTAACACTTAGTTTGCATACTCCCTAGAGTCTAACTACTAAGGTAGTAAGCCTTTAAAGCTTATTTCTTCATAGATCACACTTGGCAGAAGTAGTGATGCCTCCTATCTCCCCTCCCAACCAGATCAGAAAAGATGAGAATGGGTAAAGCAGTTTGCTAATAGAAAAGTCTGGTTCTGATGGATTATTAGAAGCAAATTTCAGTTCATTAAGCACTCAACAAGATAAATATGGGTTAATCTTATGGAATAGTTTCTCCAAAGTCAAAGTGGTTAAACAGTGGGAGCAAGCCCAATGGGAGGCTTGGGTTGAGTAATCATTGCAGTGAAGAGTATCTGGGGAGTCACTTGTGGGGGATCCAGAGCCCTGCCCCCTTTCACTACTCTGTGTTCTTGTGTCTTCTTAACAGATGGAGAAAACTCACTCACTGCCTGCATCGCCAGAAACACCAAGGCAATTTATCTATAAGAATGTCATCTAAATAGTAGTGTACTCCCTCTTATCTCACCCCAAAGAAAGTAGTCAAAAGAATTCACAGAACTGACAAGAAATATTGAGGAAGATTGAAGAACATTGACTTCCTTCCAGGATAACTGTTGTTTCTGCTCCACTGTTGAGAAATCTCCTCAAACTCAGAATATGTAACTATGTCTTCCTGGATATGTGATTGTTAATTTATCAGCCAATCTCAGGCAAGGAGCTTAGAAGTGTCTCTTTTGAAATGTCAGTGCAGTATCACACAAATGAATGATCGCTTCATCCCAGGGCTTGGAAGTCAGGAATATTCCAAGGGTCTGATTGTCAAGAGGGCAAGAATATCAAAACAAGCAGATGTTCTCAGCAGACATAACAGCCAGAAATAGATTTATTAATCAATTAATTTAGTATGTGCCTGACACTGTGCTGAGCTTACACAGATTTTGGCCAATCATGCTCTCTGCTCTTGTGAAATTTGTCCCTCGTGGACTATTGCTGTGGGCAGTCACAGCAGGCCTGACCACAGATTCCCAGCACCCAGGGAGTCAGGTGTGGATCCACAGGGCTTGGGGCTCAAAGCACAGAGAAGCCAGATGGAAGACTAGATTTGGAAACTCAGAAGTGTGCCTGACCCAAGGACGAGGACCACCGTTCCAGTTTCATTTATACTCTATGCTGCAAGTGAGAAGCCCATTTCAGTTGAGAAACTGAGCCTGGAGACACATTACAAATTCATTATTGGGGACTTAGAGTCAGGGTGTGGTCACTTGGAAACCTTTAAAGTTGATAAATTAATTCAACCAATATATATATTGAGAACCTCTGAGTCAGTCTGGCAAAGAAAGGTAGACATCAAAAGAAGGGTTTACTTTCTTTTGAATGAAATGAAAAGCCTGGGGTAAAGGAGTGTTGGTTTTGATGTGATCCTGGATACAAATCTTAAATGAAAATGTTGGGAAGAGATGTGATGTCCCAGGTCTGGGGGTATGAAATGTCAAATAACAGCCAAAAAATTTTGATTTGATGTCTTTCATACAAGGGAAAACTATCCATGGATTGGGGCAGTACTGTGCCTCACAAGCAGTGGAACACTCTTTTCAAGGAATTCTGGGCAAGAATGAGTTTTATAGAGCATTAGAAGAAGGGAAGAGAAAAAAAGGCAGGCTGACTAAGAAGTTGATGATTCCTCATCAGGCAGTGGGTCCAGTCTTCTAAGGTAAAGTGAGGTGGCTAGAGCTTAGTGGATTGTGATTGGTGTACATTCAATTTCCTTGACAGGCATTTCCTGTTATATTCAGGCCGACTTAGGTTTGCATTAAGTTTAGATTTGGGTTGGGCCACGGGAGCAATCTCCATTTTGTGGGTCTTGATATACCAGTTAACTTATCTGAAGTAAGGTGCAGAAATGTGTGTTAACACTTGTGAAAAGAGAAAATATCTGATAAAAAAAGACATTCGTATATAATACAGTCAAGGTAATGAATAATAGAGCTTTAAGAAAAAAAATAAGAAGAAAGGGACCAAAAGAACAGTCTGAAGCTGCTGATTTGAGAGGAAATGAATGTAAGAAGAGACAGTTCATTAATTCTAAGGAACCTGGAGGAGAGCTGGTCTGGCCTCCACATGGAGCTGTGCAGGTGTAGGAAAGAAAAATAATTTTCCCTCTAACCATCAGGTTCTTTGCTGAGACACCCCTGTAATAAAAAGACACATTAACAAGAGTAAAACAAACATGTTTAAATATGTGTACATGGAAGATAACCAGGAAAACTGAGTAACTCCTCAAAGTGGCCATCAGTTTAAATATCATCTACAGCTAAAGACAAAATAAGATGTTGGGGTTGGTGGGCAGTTATGGGAGGTTAACAGCAAAACTCAGTAACTCAGGGCAAGGTTGTTATGCAGATTTAAGTCATCTTCTTCTCCATCAATAGGAAGTTTATAAGGATTTATTCATCCTGCTCTTATTGGTCCAGAGAAGGAAGCCCCATAATGAATGGAGATCTTCCATATAAATGTTAATATCTCCTACAAAAGGGTAACTTATGCTCACTTTCAGGGCTTTTCTTTGTCTATTGTTTTTTTAAAGATTTTATTTATTTATTTTTTAGAGAGGGAAGGGAGGGAGAGAGAGAAACATCGATGTGCGGTTGCTGGGGGCCATGGCCTGCAGCCCAGGCATGTACCCTGACTGGGAATTGAACCTGGGACACTTTGGTTCGCAGCCCGCGCTCAATCCACTGAGCTACACCAGCCAGGGCTTGTCTACTGTTTTTTTAAAAATAATTAGTTCAAATAATTCTTATGCCAAAGTGGCATATTTTGGGGTGACACATTCTTTGCCTTGTCACATATGTGCTCTGCTTGAGGTACTGAATCTGAGGGAGTGTTATTCACATAATAAATATTATAATTGCCTGTATTTATTATTTAGAGAGGAAAATCAAGTTTCTTTTTAAAAGATAAAATCAAATGTCTTTAAAGAGGTGTGTTTTTTTTCTAATTCTCACAAAGGTAGCAGGGGTTGGGACATGCCTGTAATAGCACTTGGAGAATAATTTGCAGTGAAGCCAGCAGTGGAAGCCAGGGCTCTAAACTTGTTCAACACTGAGTATGTGTCCCACATTGATGCTATTAATGATGATATGGCACCATTGTTAAACTCTGATCCTTGAGTTTGGCTAGAAAATAATTCAGAATTCAAATATAAGCAAAAGTTTATTTAGAAAGTCTCAGAAATAGAAGTGAGCCAACTGGGCTGTGTGGACTCAGGAAACAAGCTACAGAGGCAAAGGAAAGGCTCTTGGTGCTTAGGAGAGAGAAAGCAAAGGTACACACCTTATGGAAAGAAAGGGGGGAAAGATGTGGGTGAGAGAGAGAGAATACGCCTGAGGGGAAAAAAAAGGACTGGGAAAAAGGCATTGGCATGTGAGAGAGACTGAGAGAGAGAATGTGTGAGCACACCCCGGATCCTTTATCTTAAGGGCTCTGCCTGCAGATCTTCCCTGGCTGCCACAGAAGAGAATAAGTCTACCAGGACATGATCTTCTTGGGGAGGTAAGGCTGACCAGTCTCTCAGAGTAGAAAGGGAGTTAGCCCCTCTCTCAATGGGCTTTTACTGAGTTTAGCTTACATAGGGATGCATATAAAAGAAAGGAGGTATTGTTTACAGATAACATTTCTAGGGTCATTGGGGTCCTTTTGAATCAGGGTCTGGTAGACAGGGTGATGCCAATAGGCTGTAAAACCTTGGGAAACAAGCTTATTTTGTGCTTGGACTCTTAACATTTAAATTGAGGACATTCTTAGCAAGGCAGATTTCACAGGACTTTATGCATTCTTTCTTAGGCCTGATCATCCCCCGCTGAGAACTGCTGGTTCCAACATAGGGTTGCACCCCTCTTCAGCATTGTTTCAGGACTGAATCATACAGGGGAAGAAAGGCAGCCAAGAGATTAGGAGACTGTTTACAGATAGAATGAAGACTCAGGCTACGATGAAGCTGAAGGGTGAGGGTCTTTTGCCTCTCCTCCACAATTCTCTAAGTCCTTCCCTGAGGGCCCCTTCACAACTATGCCTGTCTTGGGTTGTTCCTTCCTTGAGGAATCTTACCCATCTTTGACTATCCAGCCATCCTTCAGGGGCCAAGCAAGGTGAAGTAAAGGGAGCAGAGGCTGCACCCATGCCGGGAAGATAAGTTTTGTCTGTTTTGTGGCTTATGGTCCCAAGGTCCCCTAGCTGTGGGGCCTTTTCACCTGTCGGTGGGGTTACAGCTTCTGAAACACCAGATGGCAGGACGGTTCCCAACAGAGGATCTCAATAGAATATTGATCAGTTTTACACATGTTCTTTTAGGGTCATGATCTCTAGTCATTGTAGCTGGTCATGATGTCAGCCATGCAGTTTTTGACTAAAACTCTGTCTCTGTGGTCAACAGATCCAGACTTTGTTGTTGTTGTTTAATTGTACTTTTTCCATTACCATTTATCCCCCTTACACCCTCTTCCACTTCCACCCACCCCTCTCACCTCACAATCACCACACTGTTGTCCACATCCATGAGTTCTTCCTTTTCTTTTTCTTTTTTGCTTGATCCCTCCAAGCCCCCATGTACTCCACCCCCATGAGCTATCAGTCGACTCTGAGTCTGTCTCTATTTTGCTTATTAGTTCAGTTTGTTCATTAGAGTCCACATATGATCTAATGATCTTTCTCTGATGGGCTTATTTCACTTGGCATAATGTTCTCCAGGTCCATCCATGCTGTTGCCAAGTGTAAAATTATCTTCTTTTTTATGGTTGAGTAGTATTCCATTGTGTAAATGTACCACAGCTCTTTTATCCACTCATCTACTGATGGACACTTGGGCTATGTCCAGATCTTGCCTATTATAAATAATGCCTCTATGAACATTGGCGTGAACATATTCTTTGATTGATGTTTTGGGATTCTTAGGTTACATTGTCAGAAGTAGGTTGCTGGGTAAAATGGTAGTTCTATTTTTAGTTTAGTGAGGAAACGCCACACTGCTTTCTGCAGTAGCCGCACTAGTCTGCATTCCCACCAACAGTGCAAAAAGGTTCCCCTTTCTCCACATCCTCACTGGGACTTGTTGTTTGTTGATTTATTGGTGATAGACATTCTTAAAGGTGTGAGGTGATATCTCATTGTGGTTTTAATTTGCATTTCTCTGATGATTAGTGATGTTGAGCATCTTTTCACATGTCTATTGGCCATCTATGTTCTCATTGGAGAAATGGCTGTTCAGGTCATTCACCAATTTTTTTCATTGGATTATTTGGGGTCTTTTTGGTGTTGAGTTTTACAAGTTCTTTATAAATTTTGGATATTAGCCCTGTATCACATATATCAGTGACTATGTTCTCCCATTCAATGGGTTGTCTTTTCATTTTGTTGATGATTTCCTGTGGGAGTGCTCCATCCCTCAGAGTTCTCCCAGCTGTCATGGATGAGAATAAATTCTCCCTGACACAATCTGTTGTTCTGGCAGGAAAAGGGGTGGTGATTCCCTCTAGTGGAGAATTCCCCAAGCGCTTCTCCAACATGGCTTTTATTAGGATTGGGATGTGCAGAGAAATACGGCATACATGCATAGCTTATCAATCAATGTCCAAAAGACTATAGTAATAAAAAAAACCTGACAATATCTATAGATGATAATTGAAGAAACACAGAGATCATCCGTCAAGGTCTGTGAGACATGCTGATGCCAGATGGTTGTAAAGGTATATTTCATGAAGCAGGGAGTTCACTCCTTATGCTTTGAATTTAAACATCTGGCTTATATCAGCAGGGCTATGACAAGGCAGAGCAAGCTGTGGAAACAATGTATATTTCAGGCCTGATTTCCCATGGGAACCCTCGATGTAAGAGTCGGGTCATGTCTGCCACCTGCGTTTCCTGGTTTTCCAGGAAGACTTACTAGTATCTTTCAAGGCCTGCTCTCACAGGGCTACAGTTTCCAAAACCACAGAGTGGTCCACAACAGTTTCCTTTGCTGTGCAAACACTTTTTAGTTTGAGGTAGTCTCATTTGTTTATTTTTTCTTCCTTTGTTTCCTTTGCCCAAGGAAATATAACCAAAAAAATGTTATGAGCAATGTCCAAGATTTTACTGCCTGTTTTCTTCTAGGATTTTTATGGTTTTGAGTCTAACATTTAAGTTTTCATAACCTTTAAAAAGATTTTATTTATTTATTTTCAGAGAAAGAGGGAGGATAGAGAGAAAGAGAAGAAGGGGAACATCAATGTGAAAGAGAAACAATCAGGTGCCTTTTGCACACCACCAGCTGGGGTCCTGGCTCTCAACCCAAGCACATGCCCTGACTGGGAATCGAACTGGCGACCTTTTGGTTACAGGCTGGTGTACAATCACTGAGCCATACCAGCCAGGGCTAACATTTAAGTCTTTAATCCATTTTGAGTTTATTCTTGTGTGTGGCTTAAGACACTGGTCTAGTTTCATGGTTATTTTTTTTCACATATCTGTCCAATTTCCCCACCACCATTTATTGAATAAACTATCAGTAGCCCATTGTATGTTTTTGCCTCATTCATCAAATATTGATTAGCTATGAAAGTGTGGGTTTATTTCGAGGCTCTGTATTCTGTTCCATTGATTTATATATCTGTTTTTATGCCAGTACCATGCTGTTTTGATTACTATGGCCTTGTAGTATAGTTTGACATCAGGTAGCATAATTCCTCCAAATTTGTTCTTCTTTCTCAAGATCACTGTTGCTATTTGGGGTCTTTTCTGGTCCCATATAAATTTTTTGGAATATTTGTTCTAGTCCTGTTCTAGTCCTACAATTACATTGTAGGAATTGATAGGAATTACTTGATAGGAATTGAATTGTAGATTGCTTTGGATGGTATAGACATTTTAATGATGTTAATTTTTCCTATCTATGAATATGTTTTGTGCTTTCACTTACTTGTATCTTCTTCAATTTCTGTCTTCAGCGTCTTATATTATTTTGAGTATAAGTCTTTTTACTTTCTTGGTTAATTTTACTTCTAGGTATTTTATATTTTTTTAAGCCATTGTGAATTTCCCTTTCTGATAGTTCATTATTGGCATATAAAAATACAACTGATACCTGCATATTAATTTTGTATGTATCCTGTTACTTTACTGAATTTATTTATCAGTCCTAGTAAGGATTTTCTGGTGGAATCTGTAGGGCTCTCTATATACAGTATCATGTCATCTGCAAATATGACAGTTTTACTTCTTCCCTTCCAATTTGGATGCCTTTTATTTATTCTTCTTGTCTGATTGCTACAGCTAGGAGTTCCATACTATGTTGAATATGAGTGGTGAAAGCAACATCCCTGTCTTGTTCTCAATCTTAAAGGGAACAGTTGTAGTTTTTGCCCATTGAGTAATGTGTTGGCTGTTGGTTTGTCTTATATGGCCTTTGTTTGAGATATGTAGATATGTCCTGTGTTCTTTGATGAGAGTTTTGATTATAAATGGGTACTGGATTTTACAAAATGGTTTTCTTGCATCTATTGATATAATCACATGATTTTTATCCTTCATTTTTAAAATGTGGTGTACCACGTTAATTCATTTGCAAATTTTGAGCCAACCTTACATTTCAGAAATAAATCCAAGTTGATCAGAGTATATAATATTTTTAA